CTATAATTCCTTTGAAGGAATTTCCTTTATTTTTATTTACTTTTCCTTTATTTTTAGCTTTCTTTGGTCTAATATTTGCAGTTTAAGTATTTCTTTGTTTTATTTGGGGCATGGGGAATGGAATGGGTTGGTGGTCTTCATGACATGATTATTTTATTATTATTTTTGGTGAGGACAGCTTTTGATAACTTACTGCCCTTGAAAACTAGGAAACTGGTCTGACAAAAATTCAAACTTATGTTTTAGCCATTCCTTCTAGACTTTCTCAGACAAATTCATTGAAGGTATCCAAAGTGATTTCTTCTTCTTGTTCATCATATTCCTGTTTTTTAGTGGATGAAGTGGGAAGAAACTGTAGTTGAATTAACTTGAAATGTGGAAAACTAATATGGAAATAATGGCTATATGTATATATATGTATATGTATGTTTTAGAATTTTACAAATGCTTGGCTATGACTGAATTACGACATTTGGAAGCATATTTTTTCTTAATAATTAGATTTTTTTGCTTTTGCATCTTTTCTTCTTTGTGGTTTGGCGCTACTATTTAATTACAGTGGCAAACAGAGTAACTGAGTTCAATATTTTTTCCCTTCTATCTTTTATGAAAATGAAGAAGTAAAGAAATGCAAACTATATGTTTGGGATCAGCTAAATTGGAAACCAAGAACATATTTGTCTTAAACAGATGTTATACTGCACATAATTGGCATGGAAATAGAATCTGTTCTTTGTGGTTGTATATTGCATTTTCTCTTCATTAGACATGATGAAGTTTATGTGTTTATGTAAATAACATAGAAAAATCCATTTTCTTCCCACGAGGCAGTGAAACTGATATTGAGAGATTTAGGTTTAATTTATGATTCTGCCACTTGTTGTGTGACCATGACCTTAACTTCCTTAAAGTTCATTTGTTTATCATAAAGTGGTAATACTATACTACCCTCATAGTGTTGATATGAGGATTAATTTAGATAATGTAAGTTAAACACCTATTACTCAAAAAGATTAGTTGACTTTAATTGTGGATATACAGATCCTTTAGTAGAATTGTTAAGCCAACAAAGGTGGGGGAATAATATCAATAGGTCAACGGGGATGCAGCACACAATAACATGCATTATTCTGAAACAGCATTTATTGTTAGTTTTGTGGTCCCAAGCAGTACAAATTAGATCCATACCTCCCAATTTTCTGACGTGAACACTCAGGTTCACTTATATACCTATTATGTGTAAGTTATCTTAGTTACTCTTTGTGCTAAAATGTTATTTGGTTAATATTAATGGTAAAAGAAAAAAACAGTTATTTTATAGGCTGTAAGATCTTTGTTTTACCTTGTCCCTGGTTTCTCTGTTGGCTTATTATAAGGTTATGAGGTGGGGGTGCAGTTTATGTGTATTGTGTTATATATTACATATATTCACATTTTAAAAATTTAAGACGTACACATTCAAATATCCCCCTCTTTTTTGTGCTGTACACTCTCCTCATTTTATTGTATCAAATAGATGAAATTGCAAAGGCTTTGTGAATTGATACATGTGTGCTAAAGAATAACAATGATTTTCAAACTTAGTACAGAATGTAATTAATTTTTATAGCAACAGTATGTACCTGCCAAGTGGGTACTTTGAAAATGAAATTGTTTTTGATTGTGTGAAACTGCTTAAAAAATGTGATACTCCAGAGCTTTCTTTTTTTAATGGCCAGAAAGCAGTTATATGGAAATTAATTATGATTTTGCACCCAAGACTGATTCTTCTTTTTTAAAAACCAAGCTTGAACAACACACAGCTTCTTTGGACCAAGAACAATCATAAGACATTTGTATGCCCTGGATTTAAATGGAAAAGGCTACTAGTTGTAGCTTTCGGTGACTAAATCAACATCTGCCCAGGAAGCAAAACATTTTAGGATTCCCTTGTATTTCACCTTTTTGGTACAAAGTGAGATTTTTCTCAGGTTATTGCCATACATTCAGGATTGCAGAATAATGAGTTTACATTATAGCCCCAAACTCTAACTAGAAAGCACTGATTTATTCTCACAGTGTGGAGGTAGGGAGTTTATCAGGAAGGGAGTGAGAAAATAGTGAAGAATGCCAATCCTCTTGCTTGGTTGACTAGCAGACTTTTACAGTGTTAACCATTGGTGAAGCTGTTAATATTAATTCCTTTTATTAATGAGAATTGGGTAAGTTTAGGAGGACAATCAATTTGATTGCTTCTTAACACTAGTTTTCTCTTCTCCACCTGGTTTCTGCATCTCCGTTGGACCTGTGACTTTCTTTCTCTGCCCCTCAAGTAGGATACATGTAGATAGCCATACTCTCCCTGTCTTTCAGAAATGAGAGAAATGATGAAACAGTGTATAGGGTTTCTTGGAAAAGTTGTCACATTAATCAAGATTACCATTATAATAAAAACCTTATTAATTTGGCTTCTACCTATTCAAATTTTCCAACAGTTAGGACAATGCTTGGGCTGAAATGTACCTTTGCAGTATTTATAGAGTTTCCAAAGCAAATCAATGAGTTTAGGTTATTGCTCAGGAAATTTAAATTACTTAATGAAAAATTGCTTTAAAATTATTTCAGTACTGCCACTTACATATAATTTATTTGATGATTAGACATTAGTCCTACCTATTCATTTATATAAGCTACTTTTAACTTATAATTAGGATTGCTCAAGCGTCATTGCTTTAGGACTGTATAATTCAGATCTCTTCACTTATTGAGGCACAATTTTTACCCAATTAGTCCAAATAATTGATTTTTTTTTTTTTAGTTGGAATCTCACTCTGTCAACCAGGCTGGAGTGCAGTGGCATGCTTATGGCCACCGTAGTCTCGACTTGCTGAGCTCAGGTGATCCTTCCGCCTCAGCCTTCCAAGTAGCTGGAACTACAAGGCACACACCACAATGCCCAGCTAATTTTTTTATTTATTGTAGAGGTGAGATCTTGCCAAGTTGTCCAGGCTGATCCTGAACCCATGGGCTCAGACAATCCTCTTACCTTGGCCTCCCAAAGTCCTGGCATTATAGACATGAGCCACCGCACCTGGCCTGGTTTTGTTTTTAAATGTAAAGTACAAAATTGTATCCACTTACCATTTTCTTTTTCTTTTTTTGAGCTGGAATCTCACTCCATCACCCAGGCTGGAGTGCAGTGGCATGCTCACAGCCACTCCAGCGTCAACCCGCTGGGCTCCGACCATCCTTCCACCTTAGCCTTCCAAGTAGCTGAAACTACAGGTGTGCACTACCACGCCTGGATAACTTTTGATTTATTGTAGAGACGAGGTCTCACCAAGTTGCCTGGGCTGGTTTCAAACCCATGAGCTCAAGCCATCCACTTGCCTTAGCCTCCCAAAGTGCAGGGATTATTGGCTGAGCCACCAAACCTGGCCTGCTCATCATTTCTATGAATTTCAACCTCAGTATTATTTGGGGGCGTTCAAGTTTATATCTGATGTCTTCTGTATTGAGTGGACACTAGAAATCTAGGGAGTGGTTTAAAGAAGGAAATGTGGCCTTCAAAGGGATTCTTTTAATTTTGCTCTTAAAGCGCATTTTTAGACGTGACTTTTTTTTTTGAATAATGCTCTGTGCTCAAATTTTTCTAGAGTAAAACACCCTACCAGGGTAAAAATCGGTAAAAGATTTAAGAGATCTAGGCCATGCTTACTCAATGAAATGCAGCAGAGTGGAAAATATCCTGTCTTGCCAGCTTAAGGAAATTAAAATTTTTCTGATCTAGTAGTTAAAAGGAATTATGTTATTTAAAGAGCTGCTGTTACATGGACATTAACTTATTAAGAGTGGATTTTAGTCTTTTGTAAAATTATGTGTTGAAATGTCTTTCCAAAGGAGTTAAAGACTGTAATTTAAAGAATGATTTGGAAGCAAATATGAAGCTGTGTTAGAACTTTGGTACTTTTTTTTCAACCCTTGTCCTCTTGCTGTGAAGACCAGCCTGAGTCAGACTGTTGAGGATTAAAGATGAATGCATTACTCAGCACCCTGCAGTGGTTGGGTTAAACACCTTGGCTTTGAAAAGTTACTCTTTTGCTTAGTAAGCCTAGAAATTTCATGTCCAGCTGCAGAATGAAAGTTCAGTATTCTGTTGATTAACATGGTTAACTTGTAAATGGCTTGTGGCTCTTCTGAAAGTCCCTGCTCTCTATACATGTGTAACAATGTCTGAAATAATTGGCTGGATCATCAATGAACCCTGCCTACAGCTGCTGAATTGCCAGAGAGATTGGTCTTCATGTAGTATTTCTGATGAAATTCACCCCTTGATTGAAGAAGTGTCTGGCCTGTTAAGGGAGCAAAAGGAAGATGCTTATTTTAATTTGGCAAATGGGAATGCTTGTGACACCACTATTTTGAGGCAAGGAATGAGGATTCCACATCAGTGGTTCACTAAGGAGGAGTATTCTCCTTGGTGATCAAAGTGTCAGCCAGAGAAGGGAATGCGGGTGGCTTTTTGGGCTGATCAATTAAGTGGTGCTCTGGGAGGGGCAGCTGAGGCCTGGGGGCTGCTGAGGTCTGAGCCACATCCCCGGGCGAGCACTCTGCAGATGTGAAAAGAGCTCATCTTTGCAGGTGATAGGAAAGGAAAAAAGAATCAGGTAGGCTAGCATGTGTCTAAAGGGTGGTGACACAAAGTGAACCAAACCACCAAACCAGAAATAAATGTAATATTTTGCTTGTTGTTTTATAAGTTTATTTCAGAGCCTAACTTATCTTGAAACTGAACCTGGCAATACACCTTAAACAAGGTATTTGGGATTTTATCTACTTTTCATTTAACTATGTTTGTACTACAACCTGGTCTCTGGAAAATTCTTCAGGAGAATCCTAATGTAGTTAAAAGCATCATCACCATTCTCATCGCCATCTACTAGTGCTTATGAAGTATGTGACCAAAGTCATTGCATTTTTGAAAAGAAGTCTTTAATTTGAGTTTACTTGTGTTTTTCCAGGTAGCCCAGCCATGGCCCATAGGAATCTGACTTCTTCCAGTCTGAATGACATTTCTGATAAACCAGAGAAGGACCAGGTAAGCAAAGAATTCTTGCTTCTCTGAAATGTATGACAACACATATCTCAAACATGCTTGGAGGGGATTAGGGATGATGGCTGCCTCACTTAAAATGGGCCTCTAGGTGCAGATGGAATTTGCATTTTCTGTGAGGGAAAAGAAGCAGAGTATGCAGGGAACTGGAGCCAGAGGGGAAGAATTTGAGTCTTTCCTCCAACACTTATGGGCACATTCATAATTTAAATCTTGGAGCTGTAGCTGTCTCAGTTTTATTATAGCTGTAACCTCTGCCTCAAGTTATTGTGAGGATTAAATGAGATAATTTATGAAAACCTGTTTTGGTAAACTACACAGGGTTAAAAAAAGCTGGCAGCTGTTAACTTTTGGGGCTACTGTAGGCAAAAGTAATGATAGTTAAGTTGGGCCACTAACTGTATATTTGTTGGTCTGATAAAACATACAGTATGTAGCCTATCTGAAATAAAGAGCATCAGGTTTTGAGTCTCTGTTTTCTTTCTTTTGAAGATAATATAGTATAAACTGGGCCATTTTTTCCAGTGGGGTGGGTATCTGTGCAAGGAGATTATATTTTAAGAACATAGTGATTGATATTTATAGAAGGATGCTTCCTAAATAAAAAATCCCAAAGCTTCCCAGTAATGAAAGCAGTATATTTTTAAAATGACAGAAATCCTAGCCTGTTTCGCCAGGGTTGTAGGGGAAGTGGCATATGTTAGAAAGAGTAAGGAACTCGAAGCAAGAAAATCTTGTCTTGATACTTGTTCCAAAAGTGACTAGCTGTGTGAGGATGGGCACCAGTTTTCTCCTATGTCAAGTGGAAGCAATAATTCATAACTCACCACAGAGAATTAAGTGTTTAATTCTTGAGCTGATAAATTCTTTGTCTTTTAATGTAACAGAAGAGTGTGATTCTTGTTGGCTTAATGCTTGATATGCTGATTGTACAATCCAACCCTCTGTGTACGTGGGTTCCACATTGTGGATTTAACCAACCGTGGATGGAAAAATATTTGAAAAAAAATTGTGTCTGTACTGAACATGTGAACATGTACAGACTTTTGAACCTGGCAATAAACCTTAAACAAGGTATTTGAAATTTTACCTACTGTTCATTCAACTATGTTTGTACTACAACCTGGTCTCTAGAAACTTCTTCAGGAGAATTCTAATGTGGACTAAAAGCATCATCACCTTTCCCATCATCATCTACTATTCCCTAAACAAAAGAGTGTAACAACAACTATTTATACAGCATTTACATTGTGTAGGTATTACATGTAACCAAGAGCTGATTTGAAGTATATAGGAGAATGTGTACAGGTTTTATGCAAATATTATGCCATTTTATACTAGGGATGTCCACACTCACAGATTTTGGTGTGAGAATGACTGTATTTCATTTGGGTGACCTTATTCTCTCTCTTTTTTAAGTAGGTGAGTTTGAAGATTCCCCTTTCCACTCTTTGCTATTTTTTTTCAAGTCATATTTATTTCAGGCCTCTTTAACTGGCAACACTTGTAGTAGTGACAGAGGTTTATAAACCTTGGTGAATTCTAAAAAGTGCAGGAATGGTGTACATTCCATTCCATTTTCCTTCTTGTGAAATGGCTCTTGGACCCTCCCCTTTCTCCCCCTCCCCTCCCCTCTCCACTCCCTTACCGCCTCTATTTTTTTTTTGTCTTTTTTCTCTCATCAGTACCACTCTAGTAGAGGCTTTATCATCTCAGATCTGAAATGCTAGAAAAAACTTTGGAATTAATCCCTTGACTCTTATCTCTCAATACAATATAATTCTTATATTATTGTCCTCATTTTTTTACTCTGGATTAAAAACTTAAAATGACTTACTGTCAAGTTAAGTTTAGAATCTCCTATATGACTTTTAAGATCTTTTGAAATCTGGTATCATCCTTCTTATCTTTATTTATTCACTTGTGCTCCCCAGAAGAGGGTAAATCTGTTTGAATGATTTTTTTACTTTCCTCTACATTTACATTGAGGTTAATTCTTGACCTCCTTCTGGAGCTGCTCCTTCTTCCAATGCTAAAATGAATGATCACCTTACTTTCATCTGCCTACCTTTTAGAATGATCTGAGAGAAGATAATTTAAATATTAGATGCACTGGGAGACACATACCTGCAGTGGAAAAGGGAGAACTCAGGCCACTAGAAGTTCCTTCAAAGCCATTTTGCACATTATGTCTCCACTCATTGTTTACCAAGGAATGCTGAATATTTATGAGGTTTACCATTGGTCTTGATAATGGATGAGCAATACCCTAATTAGGGTTAGACTATCTGGTTGATGGACTTTTTGAGGAAGGTTTCTTTTTTTAGGGACAGCTTTCCTCCTGCCAGGAATTTGTCAGCATGTAACTGGTAAACTGCCTGAGAGGAATTTTCTAACTTTTTGGGTTTCTTCGTATCTAGGAATATGCAGAAGAAATTTGATGACTTAAGGTGCATAATACAGGGCAAGCCCTTTGGGTCCCTGCTTACTGTGGGAGTTTTTCTGTCCTCTCAATAAATCTTGCTTTTTTTTTTTTTTTAAGATGCATAATATATATGAGGAGGATCCCAAAAAAACTGAAATTGTTTTTTGGAGGGTGAGCCCCTTGAAGTATGGGTTTTCCCCGCTAGGTAAGTGTTCTGGGAACCCATTGGTAACACGTACCAGCTAGCATTATTGTGAGAAGCTTCAGTGAATTGTGTGCTCTTTTTGGAGATTCTTTCAGTGTGTTTGTCCATTTCATGATGGGTGATTTAGGAGCGCACCTGCCCACACTGCGCTGAGTGTTCAGTAGTTTTTGACCAAAAATGGCTTGATCCCTGTGCCCTATCCTCCCTTTTCTCCCAATCCTGTCCTGAGCGACTTTTTGGTTTCTCCATGTGAAGAAAAGTCCACAGAGGGAAATGTTTTGCTGATGTGAAAGAGGTGAAAAAAAAAAGTGATGAATTCAGAAACTGTTTTGAATAGTGGAAAGGAGTCTTGATAGGTGTAATGCATCAAACTTTGAAGCTGACTGAAATTTAAACATGTAAGAATAAATACACAATTTTAATGAATAAATTCCAGTTTTTTGGGGTTCCCCTGTAATATTCTGATTACAGTGGCAGAAGAAATTTGTTGGGAAGTTATGATTTGGGGAGTTTTGATTTTTCCTTTAAAACCTGTGTGAATGGAGTCCTAAAACTAGAATTTTTAGTGCTGGTCACTAGCATCTCACAGTCGTCAAGATTCCTGTTAAGATGGAATCAGGAAGATTTAATTCAGAAGTGTTGTTCCTTTTGTTTTCAAAGCCAGCAAATGAAGAATAATGAATGGATCACTGTAAGAGCAACTATCCATCTAAATTTTTTCTATTACAGTAGCTATAGTTCATCCAATGAGTTCTTTCCCCCAAAAGAGGAAGAAACCGTTCTCTGCTTCTTACCAGAGAGTTTGGTGAGAATCTTTGCAACTAATTCATGATGTCTTCTACAACCAAAAGTGCAGTAGAATATCAAGCTAATATTTCTAGTTTCTATACCTACTTTTTTGGCAACCTCAAATACAAAAGCTCCTGGATAATTTTTGAATGAGAAAAATAAAAATGGACTTGAAGATAAGACAAAGCTATGGTAGACTGAGTCTTTTATTTTATTTTTTTAACATGTTTTTTCCCCCTCTCTCTCTCTCTCTCTTTGTTTGGGTTGGAAAAAAAGGTTGCCAGGCTCAAATTTGTTTTGAAATAGCTTTTATAATTAATTAGCCAATGTCCTGGAAGTGATCTTGGCAGTAAAGTCAAACTTGTCCTGTATGCTTGTCCAAGTTGGCCCCAGAAACTTCCATCCGACCAGGACTGAAATTTTTGATTGACTGATTATTCTGCCTGGATACAATTTGAACAGTTGTGATGGTGCCTTGCAACTTCCTGGAGCTATCTAACTTCCCAGTAGCACAAGAAATGGGTTTAATGTTCAGAGTTACAAAGAGGATCAGAATTGCTCTTTCTGACAGCTACATAGTGACAAAATTTGAGGGCATATTTTTAATGAGACTTTGTTTTGGGAAAACAGAAGAAACAAATCTGTGGACTGCACTTTTTCTTTCTGGCTCTGCCAAGCCTATGCACTTATGATTTCGGTAGCGACTGCTTTATTGAAAAATCGCTTAAAATAGTTCACAGCAGAAGAACATTGCCAAAATGTAGGTGATTCAATGTTTCAACAACATTCCAACTTGGATGTTATATTTATTAAGCAGAAAAACACGTGTGGAGAACTAGATTAAAAAATACATCTGGAGCTCATCTAGTTGTAAATCTACATAAATAATTTCTTCTATTTTGTTGCTATGGAGTATTTTTTTTTTACATTATTTAGTTATTTTTCTTTAGTACCTGAGATTAGTCTATTTTCTTATTTCTCTTTATTCTTTAACTGTTCTTTAAATAAATTACATACATGTGAGATGGATGCTTCTCAAATACCGTGGCCTTAGTTCCAATTTTCATGTGAATATGGAATAAGCTATGAGGATAAGAAAGTTTTTCTCTCCTTTTATATCTTAGCTTTAACTCTTTTAGAAGTACCGTGCTTAGTGGTATAATGGCTTTAAAAGGCTTTTTTTTTTTTTTTAAAAGTTTACTAATAATGCAATAATATCTTACAAGTATGTGTGTCACCTTAAGTGAAATTGCAGTCTGTAAGTTGCTGTGGATGCAGTAGATGCAGAAATACCTTGCAGATTTTCAGGAGGACACTTGAGACTCACATGATCTTGTAACTGCCTATCCTGTTATGCTTTCCATGATACTTCTTATTTAACTAGCTTATCTGGGAATCTTTCCTATAGATCTCCGGTGGAATTTGGCTTAAGGTTAATTTTTAAAGTGTATTACAATCGTTTTTAGCACCGTCTGTTGTCAATTTTTGATTTCTATTTTTGAAGTCTTGATCTTTTGCAGAAATAGACCTGAATTTAAAAATGTTGTCAAAAAGTAAGTTGATGCA